TAAGTTATATTTAGTATTTTCGCAACGTTCAGGCAAAAGATCGTAAAGTTTATGATACGGATCTTTGAGAACGTTTTCAAACAGGTTAGAACACAATTTGTCGTGATGGGTTCCAAGATCATCCAAGTTAAGAATTTTACACGCGTCTTTATATCGATAACAGGGGAAAATAATTGATAGTGCTCTTTTCTGTATACGTTCCAAATCGACTAAGAGATATTGTAGCCGCTGCATAATCCACAACAGATGTTATGCATGATTTATAAAATAGAGCAAGGTCTACAGAAGGAACATTAGTTCTCTTTAGCTGGATTAAAAAATAGATTCAGCATGCAGCTTTCTTAATAATTTCAGTTACATGGTTGTTCCATTTCAAGTTGTTTATTGTGAGGCCCAACAACTTAACGCTTGGTAAGATTTCTAATACTTCGTTATTACTAGTTAATAAAGGCAACTCTCTTGTACTCTTCGAAAAATCTATTCTGAGCTCCTTGCACTTCTTAGCATTGAGTTGTAAGTGCTTTGCAGTTGACCAACCTCCAATTTGATCTACTATTGACTGAGCATTACTTTCTATTCCTTTTGATACGACTTCGCTTGCTGTTGTGTCGTCGACAAATTTCCACAACGGATGATCTTGTAGGACTAAATCATTGATCATGACCGCAAATAGCCATGGACAGTACCTTGTGGTACTCCTGATATTACTGATCCCCATTGTGAAAAGCAAGCTTCGCTTAATTTGACTCTTTGGTAACGGTTGGATAAAAAGTCAGCAATCCAGTTTATGCTGCTAGAGGGTAGATCTAGATTTTGTAATTTCCATACAAGAATAGAGTGATCAATCATATCGAAGGCCTTACAGTAATCAAATAATAACACCTGAACCATAGCCCCATTTCCATCTGTTTCTTTAGCCCATGTGTGTATCATGTTGATTAAAGCAATACTGGTCACGATTTTGGGACAACTCCAAATTGGTTGGAATCAATAGATTTAATTACAGAGGGTTTGATAAAATCTGACACTACAAACTCTTCAGCAATTTTGGATAGCAAGGAAACCAAGGAGATTAGCTGGAGTTGTGTGCCAACATCCATAATTGGTTTTGATTTGGGGAGGGGGAAGACATTCGCTAACTTCCACGAGCGCGGAACTTTTTCATCATGGTAGGACTGGTTTAAAATAACACTGATTGGTTTGGTAAGGGTTGCTGCGTTTTCTTTAAGAAGCCATTGTGGTAGTTGATCAGGGCCACTAACTTTAGCTTTACATAACTTATCAGTTATGACACTTGAAGGAATTCTGTGTTATTTGAAGTGGATAATGTTGAACCTGGGGTAGGATTGTTGGGGCTGAATGTATCCTGAAATTCATGTAGAGGAGCAAGAAATTTGTCATTAATCAAGTTTGCTATTTCAATGTCAGTTTTCCCCCTCTATGTCAGGACTGTGAATTTGATTGATCAGCGATGGACTGTTTGTTGCCATTCCACTTAGATTTTTAACACTTTTCCACCGCACATGAGGATTGGTAGATTTCATATCTTGAATTTTATTAGCATAATAGGTTGCTTTACATACTTTTCTTTTCCTATTTACTGCGTTGCAAAAAAATTTGAAACTAATCAAATTTCCATTGTGGAAGACACGTTGACATTTAATAATAAGAGATTTTTAAATTGCTTGTCATCCAGGGGGGATTGGAGGTGCATATTACTGTCCATTTATAAGGCATGATTAGGTCGAGACCGATTTTAATGACATCATCGAATATTTTTCGAGTTTCCCTTCACACGTTGGACGGGTGGTTAACAAAATGTCCCAGTCAACTTGTGATAAGTAACGACTTAGAGATTGGCGACAGCTGGCTCTCATATCACATGTGATAATACACTTCCTCAAAGGCTGACTCCTTGTTAGTTTACTAGGACGGACAAGTGCTGTGTTGTGGTCTGACAAACTAAAGGGGCTGGCCAACGAGGCGTCTTGGTAAGAAATGGGTCTAAAATAGCAGATTCATGAGTGGGTTGCTTGACCAATTGTTTAAGCTTAAAATGGGACTTTACCGAGTCAATGTTCAAATGGTTACAGTCACCAGTAATGATTAAACCGCTTTTTGGGATACCTAGATTCTATTTGTATAAGTGATTGAATAAGATGATCAAGAAATAGGGAGTCATCGGCACTTGGAGGATGGTAACATGCGGCAATTATAATGGACGATATTCCTCGGGGGAGTCGATAGGGACGCAACCGACCGAGGAGAATTTCATGTTGATTGCAACAAACAATTAATATCAGTAATGGTTTCAAATCAGTGATTCTCTTTCGTATAAACACAAACACCGCCATGCTGCTTATTCTTCCTATCTCTTCGATAAATATTATAGCCAGCAATTGAAACAACGCTGTTGGGTATCGATTCACGAAGCCAAGTTTCAGTTATTACTCCAAAATCAACATTTTCGTTTATTTCGTTCATTTAAACTCATTCACTTCAGGTAATTTGGGGACAAGTGACATAACATTTGATAGTATAAATACTGGTACTAAATTTCTAAGTGATACCTGATTAGAACAGACTGTATCTGTCTGGGTAGATTTAACTTGGCCATTAGTAGGAGTATTCAAATATTCTGAATAACAATTTGTTGTTGAGTTTGGTGAAGCGTTAAATGTTTGAATAAATAACAAGTTAGGTCTTACTTGAAATAAATTCGATTTCTTTGTCGTTGACACAAGGATATTCCTGTTTCCACATATAACTGGAATAGCTTTCCTCAGAGCTCGACCTGCTCTACAACCACGGCAACTACATTTGTCAGTAAGTCCAAGAACTTTTAGTCTTTGCCAGATATGATGATCAACTCGTAGTTTGGAATGATGAAGTACAGCTTCGTAAATTGAACGTAGAAACATAGCCGTATATGTGATATGTTTCATTAAAAGCGATTGTAAAGGTGCCAAGGATAGTGTAAATCGAGGAACAACTTTTAAACTCTTGATAAAATATGATAAAAATTGAAAAAATCTAAGATATTGCGGAGACCACAAATACATGCGCAGCCTCTAGGCGCATCATTCTGTGTGAGAAAATAGAAAATATATTGATGACAAGCCTTTCGTAATGTATCAAGTTATATCTTTTTGATTGAACGACTGTATTTGCTTAAAAAGCTGAAGTTTTGGATAATCTGATCCTATTCACGCCTTTAGATAATACTTTTGACTGGTTTTGAGATATTATCATGCTGTGCAAGGTGTTGGCAGAAAAGTATACTGTTTGGGGACAAGTTCACTCCGTGAATTTTTCAATGACATCAGCATCAAATTCTGGACATACATTATGGTAGCGCATAATCCACACTAATAAAAACTCCTAAATTTAGTTAAATGACATTAATTTGGGACATTGTACCGGATTCGTTTGTCACATTCGTTTGTCGTGGATCTTCGCAACTCACAGAAAATGAAAATATCGGAATTTTTCATAGTGTCCAATGTTTCATTAAAGAAAGTGGTTGATTTGCTCTTGTAGAGCCTTGATGACCAATTATTATTCTATCTATTTATAATGAACTGATTTGCAAATGCTAGTTTAATAATGTATATCGTATTTGTAAAAATCGTTGAGTGTCTGTTTTATGTATATCGTTGTAAATTTGTAATAGTAAGCCCTCTAGATGAGCATTATATGCTCTTAGGGCAAACTATTTCATTAAATATTTATTAAACCAAATGTTCCTGATTTAGGTTTTCATTTTGGTACGTCATTTTTATTTTGCTGTCTTTTCCAAGTCCTAAGTGACTGTATGTTTTGCTGCTGATTTACCCCCCTCCTTGAAGAGCAAAATATGCATGTATTTGCAACAGATTTATAGTGAAACAGATGAACATGCCTACAGATTACACTTGTGTTACTTTGTATGTGTGTTAGTACTTAGTAATATGCAAACGTACACTACATTAGTACATTACCTGGTTAATATCAGCAAAATTTTCCAGGCGCAACAATTCTTTTTTGTTGTCCTTATTAAATTTCGGATCACTTACATAGTCAAGCCGAATAACGTGTCCATCTAACCTATAAACACAAAAAATGACGATTTTTAGTTAATGTATGATGTGAAATATAATTTAGCTGCAACTAGCACACTTAAATATTAATTAATACTCTAAAGGTAGTTTGTTATGCACTGGTCTATCCATATCTGATTTATGGGAACCTATTCTGGGGTAATACATATAAAACAAGAATTAAAAAGATAATGAGTACACAAAAGAAAATTATGTGCATAATGACTTTCAAGTCCTACTCTGAACACACTGTTCAGAGTATGACTAATGACAGAGTATGGTAGGAATGAATTTTAGCATCTCATCCAGAAAGGAGTGATGAGGAGAATCTCCAGTAATTGTAGCTTCTTAAACGTTTTTGCAGTATTGAATGAAGAACTGTTGAGATGATCAAAAATGTTGGCTAGTTCCTCGGGTAGAGGAGAACTGATCATGTGATCGGCTAGTTGTGTTGTTTGTGGCGTCAGATATAACCCAATCCCTATCTCTAAGCCTAATCCTTAATCTTACCCTAACCTCAACACTAATCACTATAACTAACTGATTATGTAATCTGTGATGCAATTTCTTCTACCCGAGGAAGTACCCAAAATGTTGTCCAACTTTGAAAGCAACTCAGCTGTTCCAGTAGCTACTGCAGGTTAGAGACCAAGCGAGACATATGTCTTAATTGACGATGCCATGGTTTTACCAAGGACTTGTGTTGCATACTTCACCTTCATCTTCTGAAAACCGTTCAGGTTTATATGCTTCTTCGTTCATTTAGGGTAGCAATGAATCGATTGTTTAGAATCTTGTTGGTATACCATTTTATTAGGTTGTTTCGAATTGCTTTTATCAAGTGAGGAGGGTCATACAGGTTTCTTCCCTTGTGGGTGAACCAGAGTTGGCTTGGTATTGTGTTTAGTTCATGAACGAGCTTCTGAAAGTTTGATCCTAAATCAGAAATGATGCCTTTCACATGTAAACCAAGTGATGTCACCTCATCTATCGTATCAAATAGCACATTCTTTATCTTTTCACTTAGGCATTCCTCATGGACAAGAAGGTACCTCAATGGCTGTTTCCAATTCTGTTATTCCTCATGCCATTAACACCAATGCTGAATTCGTTACTTCACCGATACAATTACCATTTCCGAAATCCATGACACCAGTTACTTAACCTTTTAATTGGTCGTACTGTAGGTAGGTTCAGTTTATTAACACTAGAAACCTTTGTCAACAAGGAAATTTCACATGTTTATCAGTGGTTATGTGCTAATAAATTGTCTTTGAATGTTGAAAAGTCCAACTATATTATATTTTTAACCATCAATTTCGATTGCTTTCAGATGTCTTATATTAAAGTAGATCATTCTCTGATGTTTTGTGAGAGGGCCAAGGAGTTGATATCAGTAGCCAGTAGGTTAGTATTAATTAATTACTCTCTTAAGAAGTACTGGGCCAGTTGCTATTAAATTCTATTTAATTTATACTATTCATGCAAATATCACACTGAGCTCCCAAAGGTAGTTGGAGTCATTGCTGCAGATTTTACTTTGTGGAGGTGCGGTAGGCGATCTTCAGGTGGGGCTTGCTTGGTCTGGTTGCTGGGACTGGGGTGTCAGTACATTCCATGAACCCGAAAAACCGCAATTGACAATGCCCTTGTCCTGTGGCTTGTTCTTCCTAGCTATATATTCCTTGGGCTTGGTGATTATTGACTTAACATTGTTCATACAGCTGTAACTTACTTTCACTGTATTTCTGTTGAAGATCTTATGCAGCTTATGGTGCGGTGGAAAGTGCTTGTGAATAAGACAAAGGAAATTATGCCCTATATTAGTGCTGACATTCATGCTAAATGGTGGGTTGAACCAAATGATGTTGCGTTGCCGATTTCTGTGTGGTTGCTGTGGTGCGTGTAGCTGAGTTCATGATTGAAGTTGCTATGTGCTGATTCCTGAAATGTTTGCTCATCCGATAAAAGCAGTGGAATGCGCTTGTTAATTGATCTAAGTAGCTGCCTTGTAATGCTAGGTGGATGGTTAGAGTACTATTTATGTATAGTGGATTGTCATTGGGCTTCCTATAGGGCCTATATTTTCCGTTGTTGAGATTGAAAGTTACATCTAAAAAGTTTTAACATGTGTAAATATGATTCAGCGGTGGTTTTTAGGTCACACAGCTAGAAAATTCTGTGAAGTCCTTTACTTGATTTGTGTGCTAACTGTGTTGATTTACTTTTTATAAGTGCAAAACCGTCATCTCTATATAGGCCAATGCTTTCTTTGCCAAATTTCTTATTTAGATGATTTAGAATAAAAAAGCCAAATAATTCATCATATTTCATCACCATCATGGCTGCCCATGGTAATGTCAAACCTATATATATATATAGGTCTTCCAATCTGTTCAAATTATATGGAGCAAGACTTTCATACACAAGATGCCAAGAAATATTCAAAGAATGTCTACAAGAACTTGGATACGATTAAACGAAATATGGATTACACAGTTTGAGATCAGGTGGAACTACAGCAGCAGCCAATAATGGGCATGCTACAGAACGACAATTGAAGTTACATGGATGCTGGAAAACTGATATTGCAAAGAACATGTTTGTGCATGAAAGTGTTAAGAACTGACTGCTTGTTACTGAGAATCTTGGACTTTAGATACAGTATACGTAATACGAATAGTTAATTGTGTAATTATTGCTTTATTAATTGGATTGTGTTTATTACAATATATGAAATATGTAAAAATAAAAATTAAAAAACCAGCAAACAAATAAAAAATCCTAGTGGTGGTGTAATGAGCATTACCCATGTTATTCAATGTTTATGTGTGAAGATTTGTAGAATATAGGAAGTAAATAATTTGTGTTCATTTGAGCGTAGTGAACTAGAACGTAAATCATACTGTTAAATGGGCGTCTCTTTTGAGATTATGTTCTTTTGAACAATTTGGTTAGTACACAAGTAAAGTAAGGAAAACAAACAGTTTGAGTTTGTAATTAACAGGTGCTAAGGGGGGCGGAGGGAGGTTACGGCACCGCACACTTTAAGTGAAGTTTATGTTCAGATCTGTCATAAATCTTACCGATCTATCCGTCATAAATCTTACTGTTCAGATCCGTCATAAAACTGTTCAAAGCAAACAATATTTACAATGTCTGGAAGAAATTTACAAAACCCACATTCAGGGGAGAGTCTGTGTTTTACTGCGCCACACACCATCTTTTGGTTATTCACTTCAATATATTTTGCCTTCTTTGCATATATCCAGTGATTTATACTTTTGTTAATTAGTTTCCAACAACAGTTTTTTCTTGGCGGACTCCATATTTAGATAATTCTCTTGGATTTTGCTACATTTTGTGCAGTAGTTTTAAGTTTTCGAGTGCTTTTTGCTTTTCTGATTTGTTGTGTGAGCCAAACATGACAAAAATTGCAGTTTACATTCTATTACACCACAAGCCTCATCTTGTGTGGCAACATCATAAATCATATTAACTAGACACATGGGCAGATAGGCCAGTTAACCCATTAAGCGCCAGCGCTCTCCCCTTGACAAGTAAAATTGTCTGGCGTTAGACAGTAAAATCGTCTGGCGTTAGACAGAGTAAAATCGTCTGGCGTTAGACAGAGTAAAATACTAAAGTAGGTGCATCAGGGTGCAATGCCACTCAATGGGTTAACTAGACACATGGGCAGATAGGCCAGTTAACTAGACACATGGGCAGATAGGCCAGTTAACTAGACATATGGGCAGATAGGCCAGTGAATGAGAAAATCAGTGTCACAAAATTGTTCAAACAAATGAACTGTTTGCTGTTGATGCATCCAACTAAGAAAATATTTAGTTTTTTGCCTTGCATTATGCTAGAAAACACATAAGCGACAGTTTGGAAGCCATAGCAAAAAAGCCTGTGTGCTGTGTATTATTTTGTAATATTAATTTTTAATATTAAGTTAGTTACTAGTTGCACAGTTATTTACTAATATATTATCCACATCACTCAGCTACATTAATGCCTGGGTCCAACATTGGAAATTCAAGAAAATATATTAAAATTTGTAAAAAATCAATGAAGCCTTCAATTGTTACTGTTCAAGTATTATAACATTTGTTAAGATAGGGGCTTGAAGTTAAGCTACATTTAGTCGCCATGGCAATGATCACATGACATATATCACAGATAATATAACACGTAAAATGGCTTCTTTGGCTCTGCAGCAGCATAATTCATGCTTAAGATAACGCAAAATTGCGATAATCAGCCACTCCTGATACTCATATTTATAAGTTAAACTCGGAAAGTTGACATTCATTACTGGTTTCATTGTTTTACGAGTTTACTGTAAGATCGTTAGCACTATAGGACGTATAATTGACACATTAAATGGTATTCTTTTCATAAATGTATGCTTTCCATATATTCCCAAGAAACATTGATCCCCTGTCAATGTTTTTAGTTGATAATGCAACAGGAATATTTTAGACTTACCCTGCTGCAAACCGAACATGTTCTTCGTGTGATATAGATAATATCTGTCGCCATCATGAAATCAATTCATGATTCATAGCACTTCTGTGTTATCACATATTCACCGAAAGTACAAGAATGTTTCATCATATTATTGAGTGACAAATACGCACAAAAATGTATATACATATGAATGGCTTATTGAGTTATCACAAGATCAATGACGCAAATCTGCAAGTTTCAAATTTTGGCGCAAATTACAAAACTTTTTACAGCTGTGAAGAATGCAATCCTTAGCTCAATAAAATTAAGTCTATTTTCTTCACTTTATATACAGCTAGTACTTTTATACTATATACTATATTTAGGTAACTACCAACTACTATTTTATACTACATTTAGGCAACTACCATAGCTTAGTGTAGTAATAATATTAGTCTAGTGGACAGACATTGACAGGTCCTTGGTTGATACCAGCAATATATTTTGCTGAAACAAGTTTTAACCTGTATGAATATGACATTATTATTATTATTATCTCACAGCATTGAAGACAAGACGTTTCTCAATGTGTGGGTTGTTCCTTCATCCTTTCACATTGCGGCTTTGCGGCAAGTGTCAGCACAAGTAGACGCAAATGAAAATCTAAAGTGCGAAATGGGTAGCTGGGATGACTGATGCAAAAATACAGTAGGTAAACCAAGAAGCCGGGGTAGCCAGCGAGATACCATATTCATCTGGGGTAACTGGGTGGGATAGCCATATACCCAGATATCATACACAGCCATGATAACACAACACCCAGCCGGGGGTAGCTAGATATCATACTCAGCCAACGGTAGCTACAATCTTAGACAAAACCCTTGAGACCATTCCAGCTAAAATTACAAAGTTATTGAACATTGACAAAACAAACTTTCTCTCCCCCTCCCCCCAGTTCAATGTTGCGAACAACACCGAAACAACTTTTGATAATATACCATGACACAAGCTCAACATTGAGTTGGGGGAGCGGGGGCTTAAGAAAGGCAACATGATTCAACATGGAGTTTATCATAAAAATATGTGAATTTTCTATACAGCGAAAATAGTCTCAACTGGTTATGTCCAAGATTGTAGATACCCAGCCGGGGTAACCAGTGTGACTCAGTGTGTAAAGAAGAGGCAGTGTGTAAAGAAGAGGCAGCTGAACACATGAGGGAGCAGAAAGAACAAGGGAAGCAGAAAAATCCTGTTGGCAAGTTTGCTAACATGGAATGGGGTAAGCAAGGGATGAAAGATGAAGTTAATAGTTATGGAGATGACACTTTGGTCAACTGGTGTGAGTTAGCAAGACGATTCTAAATCAAAATTAAAACTGAAGAGTTAGCCCAAAACGGTTGTCAAATTGCTATGGAGTGGCTGAAGTCGGAAGAAGTTAATGTGGAAAGATTTAAGAAAAGAAGAGAATGTAATGAGGGCAATATAAGAAAAAATTCAGAAGAGATGCAGGTGGTGAAATCACTGTTCCATGTCCTGAAACCAATGGAAAAGTGCTGAAGAAATTGCAAGAAAAAGTTTCGTCAGGCAAAATAAATGTTGGGGAGCTAATAGTGCCAAGAAAGGTAATTAAATCTCAATTATATAAAATTATCAGGTTTTAGACATTTTAAATAACTGGAAGGTATATTACTTCAGTGGTATATTAAAATATTAATATACCACTGAAAATCAATTCAAATATACTGTACAGGTTGTTTCTGCCAATAGTCTGATTTATGTACAGTAATAATTTAAGTTATAGTTTAGAGGACATCAATTTGCATTATTACTAACTATATATTGCAATAGTTTTTGTGATTCTTATTTCTAATTACTAGCACTGTAAATGTTAATAAAGTAGTAAAGGTTCACAGTAGATTTAAACTGTTTACATTTTACCAGTGAGCTAGTTTTATTTAAAATCAAATAATCTTTCATTCTTGTTTAGTATGAGAAGCTAGTGCTCAAAGAGGATGGCTCAATCGAGAAAGTCTTCTTTTTTGTGGAAGGATGCAAATGCCCACTGGTTGAGATCAGGAGAAGAAAGTTACATGAGTTGGAGAAATATATAGAGTACTTCCTCGGGTAGAAGAATTTACATCACAGATTATGTCATCAGTTGGTTATAGTGATTAGTGTTGAGGTTGGTTTAGATTTTAGGGTAAGGGTTTGGGTTAGGGTAAGATTAAGGATTAGGCTTAGAGATAGGGATTGGATTATATCTGACGCCACAAACAACACAACTAGCTGATCACATGATCAGTTCTCCTCTACCCGAGGAACTACCCCGATATATGCAAATTAATTATGAAAAAGATGTGGATAGCATGCGTGTGACAGAAGTTGAGAACAGGTTGACAATACTAAATGAGAGAAAAGAGGGTGAGGATGAAACAGAGATGAGAGAGCGGCTAAAGGTAATGTAAAGAACATGGCATCTACTGGTATGGCATGACCTATCTACAGTAGCGAACCATTCTCACCTTGTCTTTATGGCAACCTGCTTATATGACCAAGCCACATTCTACACCAACAGCGAATATGAAGCTGTCACTGGGAAAAAGGTAAATATCCAGTCATTAGTTGAAGCACCAAATGAAGATCAATTGTGTTACATTGAGACCAGACTGTTTAGAGGAACTCTCAGATGCCACTACTACAACCACTGGTGTACCTGTTGCAGACAAGAGAAGGTTTTTCCATGGTTACAGTCCTTCTTGTCAATACGAAGCTAGCCAACAGAAGGTTGGAATTTCTACTGTGCCGTGTGTGGTGCCAATGCTCATCGGGTGCATGAACTTGATTATGTGTTTTGTTGCCAAATGTATCACTGGAGGATCGACAACAGTTGGTGTTTAAAGGTCCACATGGTAAAGCAAATTTTTTGGCAAAGTCAAATAAACCTTTCCACGGATTAACAAAACCCAAGTTGAATACCAGATCAATCTACAAAGGAGAAAAAGAGAGAATTAGAGCATCTCTTGAAGGATGAGCTGCATGGAGTTCAAAGAGTACCAGCCCTACTTTTCACCAGTCCCAACAAAACCTTAGAGTCAATTGTGCTGGTTATGAGATTCTAGGTTTTGAACCCCTCAACGACGTTGGGAAGCACATCGAAAAGTTTGTGAGCTACCAGACCATCTGCCAACCAGTGAAGCTTCTAAGTTGAAGGCTATTCTTGAATTGTGCATTGGGGGGAGGGGGCAAGGACACAAAGCGAACCACTGATTACCGCTGTGCTTTGATTGTTTCAAATCAGCTTAGAGGCTCCATTAATCGAAAGGTTCAATTGTTGCTTAACACCCTTGTTGAAATTCAAGAAGTAGCCTACAACTCAAAAGAGCACAGAACATCACAATCAGTTCTGAGATTTCATAACCTTACCTGGCATCACACAATGTTGTGCCGATCAGTTATCGGGTTTTCCCTGAAGCAAATGTCAACACGAAACAAACTTCAACATAAAATACTGGTACAAAGTCACACAAGAAAGGTATTATTTTGCTTGAAGAATAGTTGGAATGTGATATTTCGGATACAGTAATTTATTATGGACCTAACCCTAAGCCCAGGACACCACCACTCTAATACTGCACCCCCTCTATACTACATGTACAGGTATATTCCTGTAAATGGATTTATTAAATATCATTGAAGTTCATGCTAGTTAAATCAATAAGTTCTCTTCTCTATTGTACAATTAAACATCCTCTCCAATAAATTCCCACTCAAATGTGACAAGGGAGGGGGGTTATTGCAGGATTCATGGTGCTGTATGCATCAAATCATTTTAAAACATTTATTATTGAAAATATCAAGTGTCTCATGTTAAATATTGACTGGGACCAGTGATTCTGAAAGGAAACAGTATGTTTTGCTGACTGAGGCATACAGTGTTTGACAAAACGTGCTGTTTCCCAAACAACAACATCAGTCAATTTCATTGCCAAGTGTAAAAATTGTCCAAATCATTGAAACAAACTATATACATGCCCCCATGATTTTTGCCAGGATTAGCAACATTCATACAAATTTGGAAAAATGTCAAACATCACTAGTACTGTTATACCTTAATACACCCTTCCGGAATGTACAGAACATCATCACAGGATGAAAATATACCTTTGCACTGGTGCAAATGTATCCGCAAATATCAAATTCGATCATCTTTGCCGTATTTGCACCCTTGCAAATTCATAAATTTGCACCATATTTGCAAGGGGTGTGATGGTGCAAATGCAGCGATGAGAGGTATATTTGCAGTGCTGTAAGTAACTTCGTTAAAAGTAACTAATTACAAGTAATCATTACATTTTTCAGTGACGGTAACTTGTTACATTTTGAGAACATGTGATTGTAACGGTAACTAGTTACAAAAAATGCCATAAAATTGAAACGATTACAAGTTATTTTGCCAAAGTTACAAGTTACATTTTGTTCATTGCTATTTGTGTACGTTTTTAAAATGAAATAAATCAATACACAGTCAGGCAAGCTCTTAATCATCTGCACAGGAATAATTTAATCTGACACAAATTTAAGTTGAGGATTGACGTCAAATTTACGTACAGCTGGAACTGATCAGAATGCCATTGCTCGCCTTCACTTGGGCCTTGGCCTCATCATAATTGGTCTTTAGCCTCATTTCACTTGGCCTTGGCCCAGTCATGATCACATATTCACATTTCCGCTTTTTCATTGCGAAGTTAGAAGCCACTAGCCAGTGAGGTATATTTTTTCCAATATATTCGTTCAGACTGTATAATAGCAGGGTTTTTTTAATTGACAATTCTACTAAAAAATCGATTTGGTGGAATTTTACAGATGCATGCAGATACATTGAGTAAATAGTTATTAATTTTGCCAATAATTTTGCCGCAAGTCTCATTATGCTCTTAATTGCAATCAATAAATGTAACTTGTAACTTTGTAACTAAGTTACAAAAAATATTTTGTAACTTTGTAACTGTAACTAGTTGCACTTTGGCGTCTGTAACTTGTATCGGTAACTAGTTATGTTTTTGGCAATGTAACTATAACTGTAACTAGTTACAAATAAACTGTAACTGTTACAGCACTGTATATTTGCAGCCACTGCAAATATGATGCGTATTTGCAAGTTGGCATGTAATGCCAATTTATTGTGAATTTGATGCAGATTTCAAATTTGCAATTGAATTTGCCACAGATGCAAATGTACTGCTTTTTCAATATTTGCTGTAATGTGTATTTGAAGCGTATTCATGGCAAAATTGTTTTATAAAAGTCCGTTTCCACTTGATCCATGATTAGGGTTGGGATTGTTTCCAAAACTGGCTTACCAGAATTCGGGCCTCCTTGTGCGATACCAAAAAAGTCTTTGAATTTTTCTCATTGTCAGTGATCCACACAATTCAAACTGATAAGACCAAAGTGTAAAAACCATTCAGGTTTTGTTTAATAATGTAACAATAAATATCATATTTTTAACACACCCTGACCCAAATATACAGATATAGCTGGCAATACCTAATTAAATCACAAGTTTCATACTTATAAAATAACTTTGCCAATTGTCAGCGCTAGTATAGAAAGAGCATCTTAAATTTAGTGAAGTTGTAAAATATAGCCTTGCAAAGCGGGTTTGCAAATTTCCCTCTATATAGACTTGAAATACCTATACCATAGTTAGGCCTTATACAAAAGTATACAAAATTTGCAAATCAAATTTTGCAATTTTAATAAGTTTAGTTTGTTCTTTCTTGGAATACACCTTTTTTGCCCGTAAATTACAGTCTGTGTTGCAAATTGTCAATTGACTGATTCAATTGGCATTTAGCTGAACATGGACAAAAGATGCACCAAATCTACGACACAAACATGATGAAAAACTAGTACTCCCGCTATTCTCATAGTTTCACTTCACACAGCCTGGTAAAAATTATGCATTGTTGTTGGTAAAGAATGTTAGAGACATGAGAAAAACGAAGTAAAATACTGGTTTCCTATTATTAGAGACTGTTACTTATAGTCGCGTCTGTGTCGTACATTTGGTGAATCTTAAATTTGTTAATATAGATCAAACGAGACGCAAGTTGTCGCAAGCTAAAACTCTTGAAACATGGAAAGAAGCATAAGATACTTGAACAAAGCATCACAGGGAATGTGAAGTACATATGCACATGCAAAATGTGCATACTTAGTGTCAGAATATACTGATATATACTTAAAGTTAGAGCTTGCGCTTGATAATTTACGTTGGAAGAGTAGAATGAGCTTAACAGTTTCGTTTTGGCCTTCAATTCATCGATCATGCATGAATTATGAGGTGCTAGCTATTTCACAATATGCCGTAAGTAGTATTACCCCCCCCCCCCCGTATAGCGGCGGAAGTGCCGTATAGCGGCGGAAGTAATTAGTATGCAGGATTGAGTACAGCACCGGAAGTAATGAGAGTATGCCGGAAGTAATGAGTATGCCGGAAGTAATGGGTATACAGGAGCAATGACGTCATGGAAACCCGGAAGCAGGGAAATGTTCAGAATTGCGTACAGCGGTGAATATTTGAAAAATTTATTAAGTTTTACAGTAGTTTACAGAGATTTTGATAATTATAGTGTTTTTAGAGTTTGTGCCAGACGCATCCGCAGAAGGTTGATTCGCCACATTCTAGCAAGAAATCGAATGTCAGGTTTGCCAGTATTTCGTTTAGGATTTCCGTACACTTCTTGTGGATTGTTGTTTGACAGCATCGGGTTTTCTTCAATTCTTGTCCGGTGATTTTGTTTTGTAGACACAGATAACAGAGTTCCTTGTCTGGGAATGGTGCTCTGCAGTACCCGCACCGTACGGTTTCGATATCTGTTCCATTGTAATATGTCGCCCACATCTGGAGACACCGACAGTGGGCTTTTTGTTGGCAGCAATGCATTGTCATCGCCAGTAGCTCGTTTCCATTAATTTGCTCGAAGCAGAAATAGCACTGTCCCGGTTCTGCTGTATTTTCCGCCAGGATTCCAAATAGAGGTATGTTTGCTGGTGGTATAATATCTTCCGGCGCTGGTAGAACTCCTACGCATTCCATTTCGGTGTGTGGTTGATGATTATGGGGAAGTGTATTTATACTAGAGGTGTACGTACGCGTACGCGGTGTACGTACACCCCGTACATATACTATGTATGTACATGGTGTACGTACACGGTGTACGTACACCTACGTACACGGTGTACGTACACCCTTAAACTACGTCATGATCATACTCGTCTCTGATTGGTTAGCTGTGTTGGATGGGGAATATAAATAGAGGAGATGAGCAATTTTTGTTTTTGTGTTTATAGTTTTTGTGAAGAGATGAGGTGCTTACACGGTGAACCCGCTGCTCATTCGACAACTCAAAATGGTTCATTTTGGTTTTGCAATCAGAATCCTAGCTGCAATTTCTTTTGTTGCGAAGATGAGGGTTATTTGTATGAAAAAGCCATAACTGCATGGAGAGCTACGAAACAGCCTCATCCTCGATGTGGTGGACATAGTAAACTTGCGAAAATGCGGGTCGTTAGAAATTTGATGAAAGCAAGTTATGGAAGACCGTTTTTCGTATGTTCTAACAAACTGAAGCCGTGTTCATTTTGGGTATGGGGTGATGTACGACCTTTAGTCAAACCAGAGTGTCACCATGGATTACCGTGTATGGTCCGTAAGGTGAAAAAGGAAGGTCTCAATAAAGATCGAAAGTTCTTCTGCTGTTCAAATGACAAGGAATCTTCGTGCAAGTACTTTGATTGGGTGCCTGAGGAGCCTCATCAAGATGTCAGTTTTGTGGAACCCCTTTCAAGTAAACCAACCGAAAAGCACGAGGAACATTACCTGGCAAACAAATTCATAAACGATTTTGCTAATAGTTTGAACATTTAATATGTATTATTTTTAAAACTGTTATAAAGAATAGGGTTAATAAAAATGTTTATTTAAAATTGTCTAGAAGTCATTAAGAAAGTTTAGATCCATATTATCTATAAAGTTCAAACTGTTTGGATCATCCAGGAAGTCCAGGCCCACATCGCTTGCTACTGACAGTCCCGGCGGTTGCTGTGGGGTTTCTTGTTCTCTGGTCCCTTGTGTCTCCTGGTTTTGATTGCCTTCATAGAAGGCAAGAAACTGATCGAGAAAGCTTCGATTTTTTTGTTCGGCATACGCCCAGAAAGCCTCCAGCCTTTTTAATTTTGTTTTTTTATCTTGTCTTATCTTTCTTTGTCGTTCTGCTTCTTTTTTCTTATCTTTTCCGATAGCTTTTTGTGTTTTTTGGGGTTTTTTTTTTGTTTTTGTTTGTTTTTTTTTTCTTGTCGACTTGTTGTTGTTGTTTCGGGATTCCCGCCGTTTTGTGTTTCCGCTTGCTTACTGCTTCCACTTTTGGAAAATGAGCATTACGCAATTATTAGTAATAGTTACCAATGAACATTGCACAATATTTATTTGTGTTTAGCATGCTTAATATGATTAATTTCGGCCCCTGTCTTCCCACGCTTTATACATATTTTTCCTACAGGAAGATTAACAATGCATTATAATGCATAGTATCGTGATTTAAAATAATAAATATTACACATGTTTAAAAGGGAAAGATTATTATAGTCCAATTTCGAGATAAGCTGGGCTATGACCGCTGTCTTCTCGCGCTTTATGCATAGCTTTCAGAGTGCTTGTGTAATTACCGGTTCATTTGCGTACGTAGTTTAGACTAGTATTTATTCATATACATGAAAGGAGATATTTCACTTGGAATTTAAACAGATCTACGAAATGCTTTCTGTTGTGTTTTGCGTTTTATTTTTTGTGTATGGAAGCACCCCATTTTGTCAGGAACAGCTTCTTGCTGGTTATTTGGACTGTAGTGATTTGGCGCTGGAAACCATCAAGGGGCTGTGGAAGACAGAACGAAAATGGGTTGTATCGATTGACTTTAGACGTAACCGTCTTGTTCGTTTAAATATAACCGAACTGTTGTTATATTTCCCGAACTTACAACATATTAACTTGCGACACAACCCTGCACTTGACTGTAGAACCGTTTTGGATATTGGGATAGATGTCACGAGTGACTGTAAGTTTATTTCATTTATGTTAGCATTCGTTGCAACTTATAGTTATATAGTTTGACTTTCTCTTCAATTAGGTATGCTGGATACGGTATTGGGTGTTACGTTTGGATCTACAGACAGTTTCACACCCCAGACCATGGACCCCACCACACCTCGGGTTTTAATCTGGACCATAACCCCCGCAGGGTCCTTGACTCGGCTTTTAATTCCAGCACCCACCGGAGCCTCAGTGGCACCCCGAACCTTCCTCCTACCCTCGGCCTTAATCCCTACCGCTCGGCGGACCTTGGTCCGGCCCCCGGCCCCCATCGGAACCCTAACCTCGGCGTCCTGGACCTTGATTCGACCCCCGACCGTAGTTGCAACCCCCACCTTGATCCCGAGCACCCCCCGGACCTCAGTTCAGTCCCGGTTCCTGACTCCAACCCCCACCGGAACCCTAACCCCGGTCGCGTCTCGAACCTTGATCCGACCCCCGACCGTAGTCTCAACCCCCACCTTAGTCCCGACCACTCCCCGGACCCCAGTTCAATCCCGGATCTTAACACCTCCTACCGGAACCCAAATCCCGGCAACGTCCCGGATCCTGATCCGACCCCAAACCGTAGTCTCGACCCCCACCTTAATCCCGACCGCACCCCAAATCTCATTTCGGTCCTGGATCCTAACCCAAACCCTCACCGGGACCCTGACCTCTACCATAGTCCCCACAAGGGTTCCGACCAGGATCTCGGCTTCGACTCCTAATCTGTACTTCATTATTATCGGGCTGACCGCAGGATTAGTGTTGTTTCTGAGTCTGTTTTACGGCTATAGGCTTTGTGTGGCGGGACGGCGGCAGAGAAGCGCAGCTGTTCTACAAGGGCCCTCCGAGACCGAACTGATGTCACTTGGGCGGTTGGGAAGTGGCGAAAGCACATTAGCAATGTCTCACTCTACATTGTAATTATAACATTGCCTTATGATTATAGGTCTTATATGCATGTAAAGAAACTATATGTACAATTCTGGAATACTAATATACACTGGAGTTCTTAACTTCTGCTGCGTATATGGTTTAAACAGTACTGTACATTGATTCCTCGTTGGAGGAATCTGAAGAAAGGGAATCAATTGAGAATTGGCGACGAGTATTGTTTAGTGCAAGGAATTCTCTATAAAATGAACGGCGCCTTCTGCTCCTTCGAATGATGTAAAAACACGCGATGCCAAGTATTGTAATGCCGGTTGGTATTAGAACTGATAGCACCAGGAGGATATGATCTTTGCCGGTGTTGATTGGAGAAGGGGTCGGGACGCTTGCGGTGGAAGGGGTATTATAAACGGTTTTTATCAAGGAGGTTCGAGGTTCTGTCGTACGTAGCACGATATTGGATGATTGCGATGTAATGGCCGACGCTATGGACATGTTTGCGGTACTGGGGCAGTCACTTATAATGTGTACCCTTACGCGTACTGGCAGCCTGGTACAATCTAGGGGGTTGTGTCGTAAATCCACATGGCTAATATTCGGAAAGTCGGTTGTAACGGCTGAGAGGTTCAAAAAGGATATATTGTTTCTCTTTAAATCGAGAACTTCAACCCAGTTGTGTTTTTCATACTGGGGAAAGATTGAGATGCCAAGTCTCGAGCAGTCCAAATAATGGTAACTTTTGAACTCAATACAAGGATACGCCAGTGATAACTTTACGCGCACAAGGACGAACATGTTGGACAACATTTTGACAATATGGAACCTTGTTCTGTATTTTCCCGCGAAAACGTTTGTTCACGTGTGACTTTTTAATACTATACTATGAAATGTAGCTAGAATTAGTGTGTATGGCTAACCATAGCTTGACGTAGGACTTTTAGATAGGATTTAATACGCTGTATATAGATGAATTTGTTGTATATAAATAAATGGTTTCACATGTTGTATTCATTTGTTGTTTTGTTGCAATGGAAGTAATACTAGACGAACTGCAAGCACAGGGTGTTGATATTGACATGAGAACATTGTCTCGTTATGTCAATATTTTACTGAAGGGCCACGGAACAATGTACAATCAAATGGTAGCCAATGTTAATCCTAGTGAAATGCATGTTGTTTTTAACACGACCAACGTGACTAATTTTGGTCGGGCTATGGCCTATTTGACATTAGTTTATTTGATGCATAATTCTGAAGATACTACGCGCAGGGCTGTTCGTCCGGTTGCGGCCCCTTTGAAAAGTGTTGATCTTAGTGCATACCGGATTGAAGAGGGGAGTTTTTTCAGTAGGGTAATTTCTCGGATCTGGTCATAAAACGAACGAGCGCGTCAAATCATAACGCAGTACGTGTTGTGCATGTGAACACAATGGACGTGAGATTTAAAACACCAGCAAATTTTTATATTTGTGGGCAAAGTCAAAGCGGGAAATCCTATTTGGTCCGTTCCATGTTACGGCATGCAGAGGAACTATTTAATCCCGTGCCGACTAAAATAATATACTGTTACGGCATATATCAGAAGGAATTTGAAGAAATGTTGCAGACAGTTCCAAATTTAACTCTTGTGGAAGGATTTCCCGATAATTTGTGCGAGATGACCCGCGGACATGATAACTCGTTAGTCGTGCTTGATGACTTGATGTCACAATGTTCCAACGATCCATGTGTCTCGGATTTGTTTACACGTGATTCCCATCACCTTGGCATGTCCGTGCTGTACCTTACTCAGAATTTGTTCCCGCCAGGCGAACGTTCTCGAACGATTAGTTTGAATAGTCACGTTCTCATCATGTTTAGAAACCCATGTGACTCGCTAGGTGTTTCCACACTTGCCAGGCAGATGTTTCCTAAACATACCGGATACCTTCTGGAGGCATTTCACGATGCGACGGGCAGGCCTTACGGATATTTAGTCATCGATTGTCATCAGCTGACACCAGAGAACATGCATCTGAGGACCAACATTTTACCCGAAGAGAGACAGATTGTTTATGTGAAACGTGTTTAAACTACGTGTGTTATGGAAAGTCATCATTTGCAAGATGTCAAAGCGCATGAAAGGAAGTCTTCCTTATCTTCAAGTCATTGTCAAATCTAAACCTAAATTGCGAAAATTACTCATCGATAACGTTCCAGCGAATGTCATCACAGCTATTTGTGAGTGCTCCTTGAATTTACTTAAAGGTGTCATTCCGGTAACACCTCGGCAAAAGCGACGTTTAGCACGTTACAAGACACATCTCCGTGATTTAGCCAATAGGAAAGTGTCAAGAAAACGGAAGAAGTTGTACCTTAATCAGAAAGGTGGAAATTTATTGTCAGCTCTCTTACCACCAGTGTTGAGTGTACTCGGAAGTTTGTTAGTATGAAGCATGCGAGACGCATGGTATTGGTCCCGGAGGATGTGCTTAATCGTTATGAACAGAAACAAAAGATTGAGACCTCCCCAATTACATCCAGCATGATGCAACGTTACAAGACACATCTCCGTGATTTAGCCAATAAGAAAGTGTCAAGAAAACGGAAGAAGTTGTACCTTAATCAGAAAGGTGGAAATTTATTGTCAGCTCTCTTACCACCAGTGTTGAGTGTACTCGGAAGTTTGTTAGTATGAAGCATGCGAGACGCATGGTATTGGTCCCGGAGGATGTGCTTAATCGTTATGAACAGAAACAAAAGATTGAGACCTCCCCAATTACATCCAGCATGATGCAACGTTACAAGACACATCTCCGTGATTTAGCCAATAAGAAAGTGTCAAGAAAACGGAAGAAGTTGTACCTTAATCAGAAAGGTGGAAATTTATTGTCAGCTCTCTTACCACCAGTGTTGAGTGTACTCGGAAGTTTGTTAGTATGAAGCATGCGAGACGCATGGTATTGGTCCCGGAGGATGTGCTTAATCGTTATGAACAGAAACAAAAGATTGAGACCTCCCCAATTACATCCAGCATGATGCAACGTTACAAGACACATCTCCGTGATTTAGCCAATAAGAAAGTGTCAAGAAAACGGAAGAAGTTGTACCTTAATCAGAAAGGTGGAAATTTATTGTCAGCTCTCTTACCACCAGTGTTGAGTGTACTCGGAAGTTTGTTAGTATGAAGCATGCGAGACGCATGGTATTGGTCCCGGAGGATGTGCTTAATCGTTATGAACAGAAACAAAAGATTGAGACCTCCCCAATTACATCCAGCATGATGCACCAGGATACGGCGATGTCAGAGATTCTTCAGAGTACAGGCATGTCCGATGTCGAAAAACAGAAATTGTACAATGCGAACATGGAAAGTTATTTGAGTTTGAAGCGACAGAAGGACGATCAAGTACCTACAGTCCGCATAGCACCGGATACGGAACAGAAGTCCACAGGGAAAGCGCCT